ATATATATATATATATATCAATAAACAATATTGAGTTTATTTGCAAATTTATACATTTTTGCAGATGCTGGTTTCTCATATATGCAAGACAGATCTATCAAAGTGAACTTATCTAAAATATTTTACTGCTTGATTAAACGATGTCTTTAAATTAGATCTTAAATGCTTTTGTCAGGTTTGTAATTAAACAAACAGATTAGAATAAAAGCCAGGATTACCACCTTAAGAGGTGCATTATAAAGGAGCACTAGGGTGTTGGGAATTGTATTTTCCTGTAAGATTCTCTTCTTAAGGTTTTCTCAGATTGTTTTTCTTGAGTTTTTGTGGCTCAGACTGATTTTTAGTCATTTGTTTAGTAGTTCTTAGTAGTTCTTCTCCTCAGCATTCCTCAGTGCAGCTCCTGCACCTGTGACCACTTATTCCTTCCTCCATTTATTTCTCCAGTCTGCTGCATTGGATTCTTGCTTTCTACACGTGCATGTGGGTCCTCCAGCCCCCCCTTGGGAAAATGATGAGACACTTCAGGCATGTTTAGACTCAGTGGAAAAGTTTGGTCAGGTTAGGTTGCTAGATAGGTGTTTATTTGTTTACTTGCTCTAAGAAAGTTGCTTTTTGTTTTGATGTAAGCAACGGTCATTAAATTTTCAACAGAAATACTTAATATATATGTCATTCTGTAATAATTTAACTTAAGTGAAATTAAATAATTTTGTATAATTCTGACTGAGGTTTAAAGGACTGGAACCAGTGAGAAGTGGAGACATAACATGTTGACTCCAGCAGAAAGCTGTATGGAGATTTATCAGTTATGTGGCTGATATGCAGAGTATGCGCTGCATAAAAACAGAAAAAGTCAAACATTTCAGTCCCAGATTGAGAATAGTCTGTATATCACGTTCTGTCACCAAATCTGCCAATAATTCAAACCAACAGGAAGTCATTTCTGACGGGTGTTATACCCAACTTGACCACTAGATGTCAATATCTGTGGAACATTTTCACTCTGACTGTTTGATAAGGGAACTAAAATGACTCATCTTTTTGTTTGATTGTGATTTGTTAGCAACATCATTACATATTTACTGATTTTAAACATTAGTAGTTACCTTCTCTTCCAGATCTTTAATCTGCCTTCTCTGGATTTCTGTCTTGTCTTCAAGATCCCGAATTCTCTGTGGTTCGTTAGAGAGAGCAGAAATACAAATCAAACCACAGACCTAAAAAATCCTCTCCTTCCAAAGTTTCTCAGTAATATGTATGGATGTAGAAGAACCTGGTGGGCCTGGTGCAGCAGCTCCATCCTCTCCTGGAGGATCTGGCAGTCGTACTCTCGACTCTTCCTCAGCATCTGCCTCCTCAGCTTTTCCACCGCCATCCTCAGCTCATCCTTCTGAAGCTCATTCAGGGGTTCGCCGTACTTTATCACCTGATGAAACAGAGACGGCAGGTATTATAATGATCATGGTGAATTCAAGGACTTGGCTGTTTGTGCTGAATGAGGTTCTGTTCAATCAAAAGGAGCTTCAAGGAATCACAAGATTCTAAGAATGTCAGTGAGCCTTGCAGGGATTGAGCCTCGAAGAAATTTATTTTTGGTATTAATTGAAGTGATTAAAAGTTTCTACAATTATAGCATTTATTTTCATGGAACTGCACAAGAAAACTATTTGAAACATCTTTGATTTTCCACACTGATAAGAGAGGGATGATCACAAGTATGCATTCAGAATTGAATTAGTGACCGTATTTAGTGATGCATGCCTTGACACGCATCACTTTCAAAATGTTTACACTTTAAAAAATCCCAAAAAGATGTGATGCAACATAGGATGTAAACCTTGTCCTGCTGCAGGGCGTTGTAAAGCGTCGCTTCCAACTCCTGGATTTGCTGTTAAAAATGAGAAAATGTCAACAGTTTAATCATCACAAGAATACAAATCATATCTAAAATACTTAAACCTCATGCTTCATTTAACAATAAAGTATTTATGTAACAAAATTATTCAAAACAAGCCAAATGAACAGATATATAGAGAATGAAAATGGATGGAACCATGTTTGAATGTGGGGACAGAATATGTTTTCATATTCCATTCATTGATTTTTATTATTTAACCAAACTTGAAAGAAGACATAAATCCAGCTCCAAGTTATTCCAGATAGTGGAAATTGGTGAAAACCATCTTTAATCAAAGATGATTAATCATTAGGGAAGTTTGGAATAAAGTTAAAACGTTTGTCTGCCTGTATGTATGCAAAGTATGGGAAAAAACATACCAGCAATTTCAAACGTTTGCACAGCAAAGTGTCAGAGTGTTTACCATGTAGGCCTGGTCCAGGGCCTGCTTCCTGTAGTCCAGCTCTTCTTCCAGATAACCTTTCTGTTTGCAGAACATGTCCTGTAACGCAGAGGAGGTTGTTCACATAAATTAAGTTGTAAACATCTAATGTCATCACACAGCTCAATAAATTTGGTTAAAATCTAAAAATCAATGAATAATAAAATATTTGATTAAATATGTGTTCATTTCATGTTTATTGTATTGTTTGTATTGTATATTTATGATTATAACTGATTATTTTTTGTGAAAATATTCAGAGAATTTAGCTTAGCAATTTCCCATGACCCACCATTTCTACCTCCAAGTCCATCATCTTTTGATGCAGTGCTGCTTCTGTCCCTTCTATCTGCTGGATCCACTAGAGGGCGACATTCGTCCAAATTTAAGTCAGTTTAACAGAAAGCGCAGAATGTACAGGAAGTTGCTTCTCAATCAAGATAAAGTTGCTTTTTACCTTTTCTGCCAGTGACAAAACAGTGCTAGCCTGAATTATTGCCACTTGCTCCTCATTCCTCAAGTTCTGCACATAAAAAAGGAAAGACTGTGATAAATTTCTTGCTTTAGGAATGCATGCCAAACAGCTGAATTAATCATAAATTACCCCGTTGTCTCCAAGAATGTCTAGCAGTTTAATGAGATCTGGTATGCACACGTCCTGTGAAGAAAAGCAGAATCAATAGCAGGAATGCAAAAATATGTTCAATTTGTAATAAATCTTTATCTTTTTGGTCACATAAGTTCTTCTTAACAAGCACCTTGACTCCTTCCTTCATGCAGTAGATCTGCAGAGCACTGACTCCCTCGGAGAATGGGTGCATTCTCAAATGGTTAAAAGGTGGAGACCTCCTTTCCCGCTCCTACCACAGAAACACACATTTTAAGCTCATAATGGGACTAAGACACATTATTCAATACATAAATGTATTGAATTTTATGACCAAACTCAAAGTAGAGCAGAATTGTAAAGAGGAAGGAAAAGTAAGTATGATGTTGTAGCCCATTTTTCTTTGCAAAGCACCTGAAGCTCAATCTGATTGGGTGAAGAATGTCTGTGAGAATCAATTTTCAAGTCTTGCCATATATTCTCTGAATTTTGGTTGTTTTCTTGTCAACTCTTACACAGAAGCCAGATTTGTGGGATGCACAGCTCATAATGATCCTGTCAAGATATCAATAAAATAAATATTGAGCAAATTATGAAAGAGAAACATTCCAGCAGCATGACAGTTAAAAGAAGAAGTTGGTCTGGTTTTAAAAATGAATTTCATTGTGTTGATAATTTGCACCAACTTGATTTTGCTTCCCTGAACGTGCGTGTGATGCTTGGCAATAAACACACAAGCTTCTATTTTATTACATTCCCACAGGAAGATACTCTTGTGAAATACATTATTACTGTCTTGAGCACATAAATCAGATTCTTTCCACCTGCAATCATGAAACCTCACAAGTTGTAGCCAGAACAAACAAATAAAAGAAACTCTTGTGTTTTTTATTTTTTATTTTTTTTCTATTTTGTCTGGCTGACAAAATCTACGACAAAAAATGAAACATATATTACAGCTGACAGGTAACAAGCTGTGCTGCCTGATATCCAACAAATGGAGTGTCTGTGAATTCCTGTTTTCCCTGTTAGTGGCAAAATATAACTCTGTGGTCAATTGGTTTGTATGGAAATTAACTAAATTAACTCTCAATTAAACTACTGATAACTATTTAAAAGGTTTCAGGAAGAATGAAAAATAGCACCATCTAAAAAAACAATCATCTGCAGCACAAAAAATCTGGATGTTAGATATGCTCACCGGACTTCAGAGAACAGTAAGAATAGGAGTTTGACCATGACAGCCTCATGTGCAAAAATTATCGGACACACTTCAGAAAGCAGTGCAGCATTTTTCTGAGTTGTGATCACATCCGTGGCTCAAAAACGTCCTGCAACTGACATACTTAACCAAATTGAGCTTGTAAGATTTATTTATTGGGTAATAAATGTGTAAGATCCTTCAGGCTAAACTCTGGGTAACTTTATACATGCTAGTGTGGGAAAACCTCCATCTGGAATACAAATTGACTCACCTCCAGTTCCAGGATCCTGAACTCCAGGAGCTCGTTTTGGTCTCTGGAGTCCTGAAGCTCCTGCTGCAGTCGACTGCATTCCGACTCCAACTTCTCCACCTAGAAAAAGTCAAGTTTATAAATTAAAGACCAACAAAGTTGCAACAGTTCTTCACATAGTTACATTACAAATTCAATGTTATGACTTAAAATGTATTTCAAAGTAAGAACCGAAAGCAAGAAAAGTGCTAAATGTTGTTTTTAAAACATAAGAAGGTTTAAGTCCAACCTTTTCCAGCAACTCCTGATTTCTTCGTAAGAAGAGTTGCTTCTCCTCGACCCATTTGGAGTCCTAAAACAAATAGACATAACTCTGTTTGAAGGGGGTAAAAACTGCCTTGCAAACTTTTATTTTTTAGCCAGAACAAAAAGACAAAAGGTAAAGGTGAATAGAAAATCCAACAACTTTGAGAGTATTGCTGTTTTTTTTCACACTAAAAAATCTCAAAGCCACCCTAAAGGACACATGTTGAAACATCCCTAGTTCCCCCAACTTCCTCTCTGCAGGATTATAGTCTATTAGTGTTTCAAGAAGCACTGAGCATGTTTTAGTTGGCTTGGGCTGACAATAATTTCAGTTAGTTCAAGTCTTTTCAAATCTTTTTTTAGAAAGTCTTTGTTCATGTTGTCACTTTACAGTTTTAAAGTAAAAAGCTAATAAATGAAGAAATGTATAATTTTCCTTCACTCTGATACTTCAAAGGTCCCCCGATCAGCAGGGGCCACCTATGTGTCTGTGGGGCCCTCAGAGGTTTGGTAGAGGAGCCTTAGACCGAGGAACTCAGCAGACAGATCATAGCATACCATACAAACTTTATTTATAAAGCACTTTAAAACAACCACAGTTGATACAAAGTGCTGTAC